AAGAAAAAAAGAAAGAAAGAAAGAAAGAAAGAAAGAAAGAGAAAAGAAATTGTCAGGACTGGAGAGAAGGCTCAGCAGTTAAGAGCACTGGCTAGAGGACCCACATTTGAACTCCAGCACCCACGTGATGGATGATTCACAACCATCCATAAATGCATGGGATCCAATGCCCTCTTCTGACCGCCATGGGCACCATGCACACACAGGGTGCATATATGTACCTGCATGCAAAACACTCAACACACATAAAATAAGTAAATAAAACTTCTAAAGCCCCCTCACTTCACCTGGCATGTAGCAGAGATCACTAGATTTGTTTCCAAGTGTAACTTTGTCAGCAAAGAAAATAGAAGACAATTTCCTTTGTGGTCAGACTCCTACTATGCAGCAACCTCTATACTTCTGTCCTCAATCACGGGCAGTGCAAAGATGTTGTTTTCTGCATGCTCACACAAGCGCTCCATTCACTAATGAACACCCTGCTTTACTACCCATCAGTTTTCTAAGAAGAAAACAGAGAAGCTCTAATTGAGAGCGGTTGTCTCTTGTCAGCAGAGCCCTTCTGCTGACTGCGAATGGTTCCCTGGTTTCCTGGCAGGCCTTCCCACTGTTTTCTTTAGAGGTTTTTTTCTCTGCATGCTGACTGGCTCGGAAGGAGAGTTTGCCTAAGTGGAGCATCATGGACCCCCAGGGTGTACTCAGCTGTGCGGTGGGGTTGCTGATGTGAGCTCTACTTCTGTTTCTTCCATGTGTGCAATTCTCATGATCTGAAATACATTCTAAGCAATTCCAGCTTTATTTATGTGGCTTTTTCTGCCTGAACTCAATCCTGCTCTGGGTACCCAGGGCACAGTTAATGACACATGATTTTATACAGACTCATTTTGCTGTGTGAAGATTAAGCCTGTCCCACAAGAAAAGTGCAGAGAGCCTACAGGGAGCCTGCAAAGAGCCTTGTAAAGGGACAAATCCAGGGGGATACTGGATGAAATGGCATGTAAGATATTCATGAATTATATATTTTAATGAATTTCACTTTGTTTAGCTGTGAGTTTACATAATTAAAATAAATTGTTATTATTGGTGGTGGTGGTGGTGTGTGTGTATGTGTATGCTATGTATATTCAGGTCCCCACAGATCCCTTGGAGCTGGAGTTATAGGCAATTGTGAGCCACCCAATGTAGGTAGTACTAGGAACTGAACTCAGGTCCTCTGGAAGAGTAGCAAACTCTCTTAACTGAAGAGCCATTTCTCTAACCGCTTCCTCATTTTAATAAAGAGACTCTTCATAGATGGTACTATCAGAAAAGAGATTTGATGTTTTACCCCTGCTCATAATTTTAAACAAATAAAATTTCATCAAGAACCAGGCATGGTCGTGCATGGCTGTAATCCTAGCACTTAGGATGCTGAGGCAGGATAATCAGGAATTCAAAGTCATCTTTGACTAGATAGTGAGTTAGAATAGCCTAGGATGCCTGATATCCTGTCTCAAAAACCAAAATCAAAACATACACACACACAGAGAGAGAAAGAGAGATGTATTTACAGTGACCTCAGTCAGTACAAAGTGAACTTTGTTGACAATGGCATTGTCCCTGATGAAATGACTCCCATGAGATTTATGAGGATATATATTGTTTTCAGTGTTCAATCTTCCAACTCCTGGGTGTGATGACAGTCATCATAAAAGTCAGCAGCACTTCAAGGCTCTTCTAAACACCTGGCTCACGCACAACAAGCAGAAATGTGACGATTTGTTTCCAGGCATGTGCTCCAGGACTAGAGTTCTGCAGGTCCACCATAGAGAGTTCCTTATCTCTAACTGCTCCTATCCTTCCCACTAGAAACAAGCCAATGACCTCGTGAGCACCCTAATGAAATGTACGCCCCACTACATCCGCTGCATAAAACCAAATGAAACCAAGAAGCCCAAAGACTGGGAGGAGAGCAGGTATGTTACAGGGAAAAGAGGAGAGGGTGGGGCCGGCTGGGGTGGGCGTGGCATGCATGAGATCTGCCTCAGGTGACCCAACCTCTGTCATAGGAGGAGGCATGGCATGCTTGGTATTTCCTGTCTCTTCTTTTTTTGTTGTTTTTTTGTTTGTTTGTTTGTTTGTTTGTTTGTTTTTCTTTTTCTTGACATCATCTGTGTAATAGTCCACCTCATCTTGTCTTTAATATGTTTTTCAATATCATTCCATCCGGAATTAATTTACGATGTTGATCTTGGCTAGTCTGGAGGCAGGTGTTAAAACAAACCTTTGTACTGAAAAGTCATGATGGTTTTTAAATTAGTTTGCAGCTCTGTTTAGATGTACAGCATGTAGCCTATGCAGGATGCCTAGCTCGGGGTGTCAAGGAGTGATGTAAGGTGATCTGCCAGTGACTGTAGCTCATGAAGACCCTCAGACAGGCTAGAGGTCCTGAACTCTCCATAGACAACAGAGTGAAGGAGGGATGAAGCCAAAGGAAATGGATGAACCATGAGTGCTCAGACACCCTGCTACCTGAAGAACCTTGTGTCACTGCGGTATTTGGAAAGTGACCCATGCAAAGGGAAGTGAGGTGACAGCTATAGGGTGTTGACTGAGGAGATATGATTCATCTCCAGGGTCTGGAGAGAAGGCTCTCCAGTTTACAACACTTATTCTTGCTGAGGACCCAGGTTCAATTCCCAGCCCTCACATAGTAGCTCACGGCCATCCATTATGCCAGTTTCGGGGGATCTGACTCCCTCTTCTGACCGCTGCAGGCACCAGGCATGCACATGATACATGCATGCATGCAGACAGGCAAAATATTCATACAGATAAAATAAAATGTAAATATTTACAATATATTTTTGAAAGCTTTGTCTACAACTGGGAAATCCAGGGACCATTCCTAGGAGGCCTGATCTTATTGTCCCCTGGGGGCATTGGAAGAAGAGTTGGAGAGAGGCCTCATGGTGGGGTAATGATAACTACAGAGGTTGCCCCGGATAGTCACCACATCACCAGGTCCTAGGCTGCGAGCCTACCGGGATGCACTGTTCCCATCTGGGAGAAAAGAAGACTGGATTTTGTAAGGTGTCAAGTGACTTAGTAAAGGTAACAATGGGAAGAGACCAGGCTTAAAGCAGACAACTGCTGAGTACATCCTCTGAGTGGCAGGGGGAGTCCCTTTCCCATGCTGTCCTCAAACCCCATTCTCAGCAATGAAGGATGGATGGTTTGATATTTGAGCCTCTGTAAGGGGAGTAGGACAGACAAGGAACAAAAGAAACATTACAGGCCAGACTATGTTGATATCACTGTCTGAATGGGGTTCTTTCATTATTAGCAGTAGGGAATGGGCTGGGATGTGGTTGAGTGTTTGTCTAGAGTGCATGAGGCCCTGGCAAGACTTTGACTCCCAATGCTATATATATAAACCAGGCACAGTGGAACAGGTGTACCACCATGTCTGTAGTGACTGCTGCTTTTGCTTCCTTTGATCCACGGTTGTATTGTGTAGTGCTGGATGGCCTGGACTCATGTAAACCAGACTGGCCTCAAACTTACAGAGATTCACCTACCTCCTCCCCCTACCCCAGCTCCTGAGTGCTGGGATTGCAAGCTTGTGCCACCATGCCCAGCCTAGCTTATTTTAGACATGGCTTCTGGAGATCAAACTCTGGCCCTCATGTTTGCAAGGCAAGCACCTAGACCCAAAGTACCACACTGGTGAACTGTTAGTAACTGATTTGCATGGGATGCTTTTCCTTCCACATTGCTAGTCTGGTCCATTTAAACAGAGGGTCTAGGACATAAGATCTGTCTGTGAGATCTCTAACATGTCCTGATCTATGTATGGCCCACCCACTCACATGTGCAAATACAGGTGCTTGTGCACACAGCAGGGTGGTGTCATGGACAACGTCAGAGAAAATGTTGGCAACAGAAGTACCGCTAAGGGGTACCGAAATCAACTCTTTCTCCATTTCAGACTCTCCCACTTTTCCTTCCCTACCTCTATCCAATAAACGGAGGGTCCGAGTTTGGTTCCCAGCACCCACGCCATGCACCTCACGACCACCTGTAACTCCAAACTCCTTTGGCCTCTGCAGGCACCTGCACTCACATGCAGGAGGCCACATACAGACACACAAGCACACAAAATTAAAACTAATTTTTAAAAATCGAGAAAAATAAAGTACTACTCCCAACCTCGAGTAAACAGCTGTGCTAAAAGGCTTTTCTTGTAAAGAACTTGTGCAGTAGCTACTGCTCAGACCTTCCCCAACCTGGATGCTTCCTTCACACAAAATCAGCTTTACTTGGGCTGGCGTGATGGCTCAGTCTGTAAAGTGCTTGCCTTGTGAACATGAAGATCTGAGTTTGATTTCCACTACCTATATAAAAACTCTGAGTCTGGTGACATGTGCTTGTGATCCCAGCACTAGGGAAGCAGAGACAGGGAGATCCTGTGGCTCACTGGCCAACCCATTAGCAAAATTGCTGAACTCTAGGGAAGTGAGAGACATTGTCTCAAAGGAGATGTGTGGCATTCTAAGGATGGCATCCGCGGTTGAGTGATAAAGTGTGTGGTTTGTGCACACATGTGAGAACTCCTCTCTCTCTCTCTCCCTCTCTCTCTCTTTCTCCCTCTCTCTCTCTGCCTCTCTCTCTCTGTCTCTCTCTCTCTCTCTCCCTCTCTCTCCCTGCCCTCTCTCCCCTCTCTGCCCAACCCGATTCACGGGAATATCAGAAAAAAAAAAAAAAAGACACACTATAATCTTTATGGGATTTCATGTGGTGTTTTCCTCGATTTACCCCCTCCTCCCTCTCTTTCTCCTCATTTGACCTCTCTCTCATGACTGGCCTTAGCTGGATTTCAGCAAAGACACAGTAAACATCCGTAGGTCATGGTTTACGGAAGTGCAGGGTGCGAGCTGATGAGTATTGGTTCGCATTTCCATCGGGACAGCTCCCCCATAGGTTTAATTACAGATTCTTCACTCCCTTGTGAGTATGGAGGGCTGAGTCGCTGGTGGGAATTACACGCCCAATTGCAGTTCTTGGTGGAGAGGGTTACTCATTCCACAAGTTTATGAGGTACGGGGTTTTTCTTTTCCTGTTGAAATGTGTTTTTGTTTGGCTTCTGGCAAAGTGGCTGGCCTTGGATTCTGAATTGCTGCACTCACAGAGTTCTCAAGCTGTGGCTTACTTGACGGAAGGAGGGAGGGAGGAAGGGAGGAAGGAAGGGCATGAAGGCAGTCCTGGGGGTGACTCCTCTCACAGAGTGGAAATGGTGAGGAGGGGGAACAGTCGAGCTATGGCAAGCCAATGCCCACCAGTAGTGATACTCCAGCAAAGACATATTGGGTACTTTGGTGCCTTGAAGTTCTTTTACACATTACAGGATTGACTAGACAGCAGAAAATCTATGTAAGAAATGCCCTGGACCTTGAGGCCACTTTAACAAAACCTAACTGGATTCAAGCTGGAGAGATGGCTCAGTGTACAGACTGCTTGCTATGCAAGCATGAGGACCTGACTTTAGGTCCCTACATCCACATGAAACTGGGTCTGTTGGTGTCTGTCTATAACCCTAGCTTGACAGGCTGGGAAAGGCAGCTCCTAGAGGTTTTCTGTTCAGCCATCCAGTCTAATCAGAATGGCAGCTCAGAGCTGGAGACATGCTCACTTACCACTCTTCCAGATGACCAGAGTTCAGTTCCCAGCATCCATGTTGTGTGCTCACAACTGCTCCAGAGGGCCCAATAAATGACAAGCTCCAAATTCAGTGAGAGATCCTGTCTCAAAAAACTAAGGAGACAATTAATGGATTGAGGAAGACATCCCTGTGTTAATGCCTGGTCTCTTCATGCACCAGGACAGACAAGTGTATCGCGTGTGGGTATTCATGTGCCATACCACATGTCAAGGTCAGAAGACAACTTGCAGGAGTATAGTTTTTACTTTCTATTTGTAGTCTCAGGAATTGGACTCAGGTTATCAGGCTCAGCAGCAGAAGAAGCCTTACTTGCTGAAAATTTCACCAGGCTGTGAAGCAAGGTCTTCACAAAGAGAATATCCTTTCCTGTGTGATTCACAGGCAAGGCCTATGTGTGGTGAATCCATGTGTGATGTGGTCCCTGCCTGAGTCTTGGAGAGAAGCCAGTGTTTGTGAATAGTTCATTGAAAGCAACAGACATTCAAAGTTGGCACTTTGGGGATGAAGCAATGTCTCAGCAGAGGACCTGGGTTCAAGAACCAACACCCAGTTATAGGAGCTCTAGTACCCTCTTCTGGCTTCCTCCGGTATTGCATACACACCATGCCCATAACATAGCTACAAGCAAATACTCATGCATATAATTTTTTTGTTTTAAGCTAAATGGGCACTTCTTCGTTTTTTTTTTTTTTCTTACTAGAGAAAGGGGCAATAGTGAGTTTGCATTTGGAGAAAGGGAAATTATTTTTCCAAGTCAGGTTTCCAGAGTGTTTCTAATTTAAGGGAAATGTGCATGTTGAATATCAGTCTTTTCTAAAAAGCTATTTTCTAAAGGCTATTTGTCCTGGAGCTAAAGAGATAGCTCTGTGGTCAAAGTACTTGCCGTGCAAGCAGGAGGACGGGAGATCAGCTTCCCAAAGCCAAAGTAAATGCCAGATGGGTGTGGCAGCCTGCTTCTAATTCCAGCATAGGAAGGCAGAGAGACTAGCCATGTCCACAAGCTCTGGGTTTAAGTTAACGACCATGCCTCATTGAGTAAGGTGGGTCCAGAGGATGGTGTCCCACATCAACCTGGAGCAGCCACACGCATGTGTACCCATGTGCACATGCATCCATGCACACATGGAAACTAGAAAAAAAGAGTTGTTCTGAAGGAGTCAACTCTTGATAACTGAGAGGAAAGAACTCTATGCTGCAGCCAAGTTTCAAGGAAGACCTGTGAGACTCCAGCCTGGAAAAACATGGCTAGAAATGAATTATCATGACTGATGGGGCACTTGTTTGCTCATCCCCTCTGTAGAGATGGTCTGGGTCTGCACTGCACGTGGGTTGGCTGGAAACTTGCTAGATTTTCACTACTATTAAAAGGAAAAAAAAAACTAGTAACACCAAAGAGACTGAGACAGATGGGTCTGTATGTATTAAAGGCCAGCCAGAGTTACACAATAAGACATATAATTGAAATATATTTCAGACCATTCTTAACTTGGTCATTTGAAAAACCCTAGAAGTGTAGCTCATTGAGTCTAGACTTGATATTAAAGTTTAATGATCAAAACAATCCCAACAGCATTTAATTCAACAATTTTGTTTGTAATCCAAATGTCAAGTGTATGGGGTTTTATTTTTATTTTTGTCAATTATTTTTAGTGTTTACATTTATTTGTTTCTTTGAAGGGGGTACACATGTGTGCCGGGGCACATGGATGGAGGACAAAAGAAAACTTATGAGTCTTTTTTTTTTTTTTCTCTATCATGTGGGGTCCAGAGACCAAACTCAGTTTATTAGACTTGGTGGCAAACGCCTTTACCTGCTGAGCCATCTCACCAGCCCCACTTCTTATTTTGAGATGGGATCTCACTATAATATTCAGGATGGCCTTGAACTTTTGTGCTCAATGGATTGGATCCCCCTGCCTCATCCTCTCAAGTAGCTAGGATGATAGGCATGCCTGACTTTGGGTTTTTATTTTATCGTTGTTCTGTGAAATAGATGTATATTGTCTTCTTGTATGTTTGCCGTGGTTCATAATATTTTTAGGTTAATATCACTCAGTTCAAGAGTTCAGCTTGGACACTATAATTTCAGTCTTGTAAATATGTTCCCTGCAGCTTGGTAGTAGCAGGTGTGGTGGGGGTGGGGGGAGGGGGCAAGTGGAAAGAAGTTAAGAAAGTTGGCGAGGTGGCAGGTTGACAGAGTTTTCCAGTAACCTCCACGTCCCATCTTCTTGTTTAGGGTAAAGCATCAAGTAGAGTACCTAGGTCTCAAAGAAAACATCCGAGTGAGAAGAGCGGGTTATGCTTATCGGCGTGTCTTCCAGAAGTTTCTACAGAGGTATGGAACCAGTTACCTTTGGACTATGGAATTTTTTTAGTCCAAATAAGCTTATTTGTCCACTCAAAGCACCCATCAAACAAATTTTAATGTAGCCACAGAAACAGGCATCCATCACCACAACTAATTTTCGAATATTTTATTGCCCTGAAAATAAGTCCTGCTTTCCGTAGTCATCATCTCTCCTCTACTCCGTGCAAGGCAGTCACCCATCTGCTTTCTGCCACTGTCGACTTGCCAGAGTCACATATATGTCCTCTGTGACCGGCTGCTTTTACATCATGGTGTTTTCAAGAGCCGTCAATGGTATATATAGTACGTCTACTTCTTAACCTTATTCATTGGTGAATAATATTCTATTGTACGGATACACCACATTTTCCCTAGTCACTCATCAGTAAATATCAGTTGCTTCCATTTGGGGGCCATCATGAATAATACTGCTGTGACAGTTCTTGTCTAAGCCTTGGAGAGAAAGTATGTTCTAGTTCTCTTGGATGTCGAACTAAAAGTGGGGTTGCTGAGTCATATGGTAATTCTATGTTTAACTCTCGGAGTTACCGCCAGGCTGTTTTCCCAAGTGGGTGCATCATGCTGCATCTGCACCCACAGTATTTGAGGGTTCCATTTTATCCCAGCCTGAGCCAACATATGCTAATATCTGACTAACCTTGCCAGTGGGTGTGAAATGGTATCTCAATGTGGTTTTGATTTGCATTTCCCAGATGGCAAAGGATATTCAAAACTCTTCATGAGTTTATTGGCCATTTTTATTTCCTCTTTAGGGAAATGTCTGTTTAGGTTCTTTGCCCCTCTTTTTGTTTTTTTTTTTTGGGGGGGTAGACTGAACTACCAAGTACAAGAATTTATGATAATCGTGACATGGGAGGGATAGGGCTGGACCTGACTGGATGGATTAATAATATGAAAACAATTGCAAGAAAATATTTAGTCTATGGGAATGGAAAGATGGCTCAGCAGTTAAGAGCACTGGCTACTCTTTCAGAGGACCTGGGTTCAATTCCCAGCACCCACATGGCAGCTCGTAACTGTCTGTAACTCCACTTCCAGGGAATCTGGCTCCTCACACAGACATACATGCAGGCAAAACAATAATGCACATAAAATAAAAATAAATCTTAAAAATATTTAGCCTAACAATTGGAAGAAAATATTTAGCCTACCTAGGAAATAAACTAGGACACCTTGTAGAATCCATGTTTAAATTCTCTATGTAGTCCTACTGTACTGGAACTTGCTATGTAGACCAGGCTTACAGAGATCCTCATGCCTCTTGAGTCCTGGATTTAAAAGCATGGGCCACTATGCCTAGTTCATGTTTAAATTCTAACTAATTTTTTTTTTTTTGAGACAGGTTTCTCTATGTAGCTTTGGAGCCTATCCTGGCACTCACTCTGGAGACCAGCTGGCCTCGAACTCACAGAGATCCACCTGCCTCTGCCTCCCAAGTGCTGGGATTAAAGGCATGCCCCACCAACACCCGGCTCAAACTAATTTTTATATTCCTCTGAAAGTGTGTTTGACAGGACCATGTTACATATTTTGAAAAGGATAAATTTGGTGTTCTTAAAATATGAAGTCATTTTAACCTCTCTGATCCTTCTGATGAATTGTTCTGTTAACTTAATTTCCTTTAAGAAATAAGGTAAGGGGAGCCAGATGGTGGTGGCACACACCTTTAATCCAAGAATTCTTGAGGCAGAGACAGTCAGATCTCTGAGTTCAAGGCCAGCCTGATCTTCAGAGTGAGTTGCAGGGTAGCCAGGGCTACACAGAGAAACCCTGTCTCAGAAAAAAAGAAAAATAGAGTAGTTCCAGCATTAGGCATGTCTCTCAGTTGGCAGAGTGTTTGCCTAGAATGCAGGAAGCCCTGGGTTCAATCTCCAGCATAGCACAAAACCAGGCTTAGTGATGCATGGAGAGATAACTCAACAGTTATTAACAGCACTTGCTGCTCTTGCAGAGCACCCAAGTTCAGTGCTCAGCATACATGGTGGCATCTCATAGTTGACTGTAACTCCTGTTCTAGGGGATCCAATGCGTTTCTGGCCTCCTAGGATACCGGGCACACATGTAACACACATACATATGTGCAGAAAAATTATTGTGCATATTTTAAAGTCTGTAAAACAATAATAATAATAAATCCACAGAAAGGAAAGAAAACATAAAAACAAAAGCAAGACTGGGAATATATCTTAGCAGTAGAGCTTTTGGCTACCTTGTACAAAGACCTAGGTTCAGTCCCCAGCACCACAAAAAAAATTAAAATGAAATTTAAAAGAAATAAAAAATCTCTGTGTGCAAAGGCTGGGCCTGTAGAAATGGTTCTGAGGTTAAAAGTACCCACTGTTTACCAGAGGACCAGGGTTCGGATCCCAGAACCCAGCTCACATACACTTGTAGCTTCGGCTCCCAGGGCTCTAATGCACATGTGTGTGTTCTGACATGGGTGCTGGGAATTGGAACCGCTGAGCCACCTAGCCAGCCACTCTCTCCACCACACTGTTTTATATGATGGCTTCTCTGGATAGCCTGTGGCTCACCAAGTAAGCTGCACTGGCCAACAACTTCCAGGATCCTCCTAGCTCCTCCTCCCAGCGTGAGAATCACAAGTGTGCACCACCATGCCTGACTTTTTCATGCATTCTGAAGGTTGAACTCAGGTCCCCATGCTCACGTGGCAAACAGTTTACCAACTGAGCCATCTCCCTAGCCCAGCTTTGTGAAACTTTTTGTGCTGCTGAACAGAATCTGAACAGATTTGGATTAAGAAGGAAAATAATATTTTGCTTTGCCTGAAGCATGTCCTTGGAACCTCTAGACAATGAGGGGGAAGGAAAGTGGTTTTCCACCAGGGTGTAAACACAGAAACACCAGGATAGGCCATGTGATGGTGGCTCCTGCCCTTAATCCCAGCACTCAGAAGGCAGAGGCAGGTGGATCTCTGTGAGCTGGAGACCAGACCAAGTTCCAGGACAGCCAGGGCAGTACACAGAAAAACCAAAAGAAACACCAGGGTAGAGAGGGAGGGTCAGAAGTACTGTAGCAGTTAGAACAGATGTGAAAGACCTTTTTAGTCACTGAGACCCTCGCCTGTCATTGAGAGAAGTTGAGAAAGCCCAGATGCACAGTGACAGTATTTGCCTTCAACACCCCTCTTACCCCACCAAGAGCCCATGATCCACCCTAAGCATGACCTCCCACCCTCATAGGTATGCCATTCTGACCAAAGCCACTTGGCCTGTGTGGAGAGGAGATGAGAAACAAGGCGTTCTCCATCTGTTGCAATCTGTCAACATGGACAGTGACCAGTTCCAGCTCGGGAAGAGCAAAGTATTCATCAAAGCCCCAGAGTCTGTAAGTACCAGCTGCAGCCCCACGCCTTTCCTCCCATCTTGCTGCTGCCAGCTGCCTCACCACACAGCTGGATGCTAGCGCTCCTCTGTCTCATGCCTTCCACAGCCTCCATGTCTCCACTCCTCCTCTACCAACCACACCCACTTATTCAGTTATTTAATAAAATACCACCCAGTACAATGGCTTCCTTTCCTCTTCTTTCCCTCTCTACTAGGTCAAGGTCATGTCCAAGGGCAAGGACTCTGACCAGTTAGGTTGCTTTTATGTACCAAAACCTCAGCAGAAACTGCCCAAAGTTGCTGTATTAGTTATGTGCCTCATGCTACAACAAAATACCTGAAGAAAGCCCCTAAGAAAAGGAAAGGGTTAGTTTTGGCTCATGGTTCCCAGGCGATATGGTCCACTAAGGAAAAGACAGTATGGTGGCAGGAGCTTGAGGCAGTCACAGTGTGTCCACAGCCAGACATGGAGCAATGGGTGCTGGTGCTTAGCTTGCTTTTTCCTTTTTATGTCATCTGAGAATTGAGCCCAGGAAATGGTGTCATTCACATTTAGTGGGTCTTCCCTTCTCTGTTAACCTACTCTAGATAATTCTACTCTGACATGCCCAGAGATTTGTTTCCATGGCTACTATAAATCCCATCCAGTCAACTAGATTAATAATCATCTCAGTTATGAATAATGTGAGCTGCAAAGGAGCATGTTTGTGCTATACGGGAAGTTTAGGCATCTGTGTCCTTGTCTAGGTTACACCAAGCAGGCCAGTTACACATGGGTTCAGGATGGAAATTCCAGAGTGGGAATTTCAGGATAGAGGCTGGAAGACCAGGAGGAGCAACTCTGGGGAGTTGCTCTGTGGGGACGAAACAAGAGCAGCGTCTGGACTGTGGGACCCAGACCCCCCGAGACAGCTCTGCATGTGCATTCATAGTTCATGAGCTTATGAGAATTCTACAGGCAGATCATGGAGAATCTTAATCTATCCTGATGCAGATGTGGGTGCTGGTGTCCTAGGAAATGTCTTCGTGTGTGGGAGTCCAACAAAGCCCTGAGTGTTCTGCCCACTTAGATCTGCAGCTGTGGAGTAAGGACATTGCTTTGTAGGGACGACAGGAGGATCAGAACTTCAAGGTCAGCCTCAGCTATAGAGTGAGTTTGAGGCCAGCTTGGGCTACGGGAGACCCTGATTTAAAGAAAAATAAGAATTGACAGTGAAGTTGACAAATTTACATTGGAGAAATTGCTGGAAGTGAAGTTCGACCCCTTAGTTTTCTTTCCTGTTGCTGTGATAAAAATACCCTAACAAAAGCCACTTGAGGAAGGAAGGGTTCAGTGAGCTCAAAGCCCATCATTGCTAGGAATTTGAGCAGCAGGAACTGAAAGCAGCTGCCAATCATATCACATCCACAGTCAAGGGCAGAGGGCAATGAATGAGCGTACGTATGCATGCTTACACTGATCTTACTTGGTCTACTCTTATATAATCTAGGATCTCCAGCCCAGGAAATGGTGACACCCATAGTGGGCAGGGTTTTTCCACTTCAGTTAGCATAATCAAGATACACCTGCCCCAGATTCGCCCATAAGACAACCTGACCGAGACAATCCCACATTAAGACTCCCTTCCCAGGTGACTTTAGAGTGTGTCCTGCTGACCATTAAACTAACCTTCATAGGCATCATCATTTCTCCAGGTTCCTGTAACCATCACAAAGCTCCCATCTCAAGAATTGGCAGGTGTGTGGGGGGTGCTCAGTTGATACAGTACTGGCTTTGCCTGCAGGAACCGTGAGTTCTGTCCCCAGCACCACATAAAATGAGTGTGGTGGCACAAGCCTGTAATCCTAATAATTGAGTGGTAGAGGCAGGAGGATCAGAACTTCAAGGTCAGCCTCAGCTCTATAGTGAGTTTTAGGCCAGCTTGACTGTTTTTTAAAAAGAAGAACTGATAACGAAGTTGGGAAATACACTCAGCCCAAGAGGAACTAGCAGTGTTGCAAGAAATAGGCAAATTCTGGCCTCACAGCAATCTCTCCATCCTGATTCCTGTCTTGTCTGTGGGATGAGCCTGAAACTCAAAAGTGATGGAGGCTGTAGCTGAATGGCTTGGCAAGCCATGGAAATTATTAAGGAAGTAAGTGGCACCCACCAGTAGACCAGCTATAAGGTTGTGGTAGTGTTTCTCCACTCTGAGTTATTTATAGCCTGTCAGCAATTTCATTTCCAAATATAAAATGAAAATGTTATGTCATATGCCATTAGGCAACCCACAGCACAGCTCCTGTTCTACTAAAATGAGCTGGAGTGATTAGTCAGTACAACACAGAGCTTCGCCGGCTCGGAAGGCTCACTTTCCTACTTAGAAAATCTTCGTGTTTAATTAAAACGGCCTGATTTTTTTTTTATTCTGATTTAATTGAGCTTTGGAATTTATATCCGAAACCCGTGTTTATCTTGGCCTTCCTTTAGCTTGCCTTCCTCCCAACAGCTGTTAGCCACCTCTTGATTCTCCTTTCTCCGTCTCTGAACTTGTGGGCACATATGCACCATCACCTTCCTCTCCCCTCCCCCGTCTCCTGTCCACATCTAGCCTTGACTTGAAAGTGCCTTCCCCAAAGTTTAGTTTTTTAAACCTGCTCCATAGTTAAGAGTGCTTCCTATTCTTCTAGGGACCCAAGCTCAGTTCTCAGAAGCCAAGTCAGGAGTTCCCAACTGCCTGTAACCCCAGTCCAGAGGATCCAGTGGCCTCTTTTGGCCTCTAAGGGTACCCATACTGACACACACATATAAATAAAAATAGACCTTCAAAACAGCAAAGCCATCTTGTGAATTTTTTTTTGCCCTACCTTTTACAGTGTTTGCTGAATACACACCAAATAACTTCTGTTCTTCAAAAACTGGTGTAAGACATCAGACACCAAAGAGTTTGTGTTTTGTTTTATGCATCTGTCTGTTATGGCTTTTCTCTTTATTCTCAAACTTCCCTGATGTCTAACCGCCTGGGCCTTTGATGGGGGGAAAAACATAAAACAAAGAAACACTTAAAACCCAGCTAATCTTTGAAATCATCTCTTGGGTGTTCGGAGCTGTTGATGTCACCTCCTTTCTGATCACAGGTGTGTTACGTATGTCCTGCCACATGAGTCAGAAGTGGGAAAAAGCCAAGATGAGAAATATCAATGAATGTTCTCCCCCAGGCGACCATAGAGCTGAGATTTTAGGCATCTGTCTAGTTGCTAAGTCGTGAGCACCACTGTAGGTCCAGCTGGGACTGCACTGAAGGCTGTAGGGTTCAGTGTTCCTCCTTTGTGGCATTTGTTGTTCTGGATGTTTCTAGGTGGCCAGGGCTGTGAATGGGAAACACTAGGTGGTAGGAAAGTGGCTCCTATATATGTATCTGCTCAGATAAACACAGACAACATTTTCAGCTTCCTTCAAACCAAATTCCTTGTTTAAAGTTTTATTTGTGTTCCTTTTTATTTGTGTGTATAAATGCCTGTGTGGGTGTGAGTGCAGCTGGGTGCAAGTGCCTCCAGAATCCAGAAGAGGGCGGCAAGAGTCCCTGGGGCTACAGGCAGTTGAGAGTTTCCTGATATGGGTGCTAGGAACCAAAGTCAGGTCCTCTGCAATAGCAATACGCAGTCTTAACTGCTGAGCCTTCTCTCCAGCCCATTTCTGGAGCATTTTTCAGTGACTATACACCATCTTTACTTGGAGTTTATATTGGGCTGTTTTATTTGTTTTCCCCTCAATGGCTATGTAAACCGCTACACGGAGATGGATTATGCATTCCACCCACAATTTTACAAGCCGATGAAATCTGGCGAAGAGGAACCTGCAATACCTGAAAAACTTAGGCTCTCTGCTCAGTGTAGCCAATCTAGGAACTATGTCCTCACCTATGAAATGGCCATATGTGTGTTGAGAAGTTGGAGGACAGTCTGGAAAGGATTCCTGACTGCAGTGGACACTCGGCACACTGTGGCTCCTTGTTAGTCTTCACAGTTCCAAAGCCAGGCTGCATGTGAGCTAATCACCACGAGCCATCCACATGGCCTGGCTCTCCAGAGTCTGATTTGGGCCATTTGCTGTGCCAGCTCTCCAGAGAGCCCAAGAATGATGCTCCAGCCTGGCTACAGCCACTGTGGTTTCTGCCCTGTGCCCTAGACAGTCCTTGGAGATTGCATGAGGCAGGAAGCCTAGACTTCAATGCAACCAAAAGTAGGGCAGCCCTCTTCCCACAGCAACACAAACTCCGTTCTGGCAGAAACTGGAAGGTTCTATTCTGAGGCCATTCGCAGCAGGCTACATCTGCTCATCAGATCTGGCTACCTGCTTCCTCCTTGGACCAAGGAAGGAGAACAAGTCACAGAGACTGTGAGCAAGGGAAGACAGAGGCCATTCACGTACACTCAGACTCAGCCATGTTCCATTTCCTTTCCATTAAGGGAAGAAACATAAATAAAAAGTGGGTAGTGCTTATATATCCCATAGTAATCATTGCACTATTTGTTCATAATAGGAGATGGGTTTGTATTTCTTCAGTTCACTGAACCTCCTTGGAAAAACAAGATTTGATGTTCAGGGTGGGAAATGTCTTAGTTAAGAGTACTTGCTCTTCCTGCTCTTCTCATTTGGTGGCTCACAACCATCATTAACTCATCTTTTGGAGATTCAGTGGCCTCTTCTGGCCCCCAAAAGTACTAGGTGTATGTGGTATATAGACATACACACAGACAAAACACTCAAACATGTAAAATAAATACCTTCTTTAATTAATATAAAATTTTGTTCTGATCATGTGTGGACTGGCTCATATGTGTTTTCTCTGCTTTTCCAGCTATTTCTTCTAGAAGAGATGAGAGAGAGAAAGTATGATGGGTATGCCCGAGTGATACAGAAAACGTGGAGGAAGTTTGTGGCCCGGAAGAAATATGTCCAAATGAGAGAGGAAGGTATTTATTCATTTAGCATTTTTTATCATATCATGTGTGTGCCGTCTGTGTCTGTGTCTGTGTGTGTATACATGCCACAGTTCACATGTAGAAATCACAGGACAACTTGAAGAGTCAGATCTTACATTCCACCCTGTGGGTCATCAGACTTGATGGCAAACATCTTTATCTAGCTAGCACTTTCACCTGGAGAGCCTTCTCCCTGGCTCCCGTTTAACAAAGCTTACGAACAAACGTGGGAACCAGGAGTGCTGGCACACTCATAATCCTAGCACTCAGGAGGCAGAGGCACCCAGATCTCTGCAAGTTTGAAGCCAGCCCGGTCAACATACTGAGACCCTCTCAAAAAATAAAATAGTTTGAGCTTAAGAAAAATTTCATAATGTTTATTTACTGTTTTTTTCCAAGACAGGGTTTCTCTGTGTATCCCTGGCCATCCTGGAACTTGTTCTATAAACCAAACTAGCCCCAAACTCAAGAGATCAGTCTGCCCCTGCCTCCCGAGTGCTGGGATTAAAAGCATGTTCCATCAGGTCCAGCACAAAATGCTTCTTATTAAACACATGGCATCTGTTAACTAAGCTTGCATCATTTAGAATCTTTGGGTATTTTGCTCTAAGTATCTTCCTCCTCTTCCTGCCTGATCTGTTTTCCTTCTCTGCTCTCCTGGGCATCGTAGCCTCAGACCTGTTGTTGAACAAGAAGGAGAGAAGGAGAAACAGCATCAACCGGAACTTCATCGGGGACTATATCGGAATGGAGGAGCATCCAGAACTGCAACAGTTCGTAGGCAAGAGGGAGAAGATTGACTTTGCTGACACTGTCACCAAGTACGACAGGAGGTTCAAGGTACACACTGCTACCTGCCTCTAAAGAGTCAAAACAGAGTTCTCATTTACAAGAATAATAGCTTGTGATTTTCGCCAACTGTGTTCACTGAAGAAAAATTGTAAAGACGCAAATGAATTTGTCAAAAGAAAAATAGCAGCCAACGGTAGACAAGCATCCCTGTTGGCATTTTTCTGGGTGTCCTTCAGAACCTTTTTATGCAGACATATTTGCATATTTAGTTTTGCAAAATGAGATCTGCATTAAATGTTCTTTTATGTCCTATTTATGCCAGGAAGAACTTCCCACACTTAATATAGTATTCTATTTAGTAGATGCTTTGCATTCTGTTTTGTTTTTGACACAAAGTCGCATGTATTTGAGTGGTATCAAATTCCATACATGGCCAGGCATGACCTTGAACTTCTGATCCTCTTGCCTTCTGGAGTACTGAGATCACAAGTGTACAGCATCAAGCCCTGTCTATGCAATTCTAGGGACTGAGGCCAGGGCTTCATGTGTCATGACCCGGCATGCTAGGCAGGCTCAATCCTGAGGCACACCCCCAGCTTACTCATTTAAAAAGCAATTTCTTAAATTAGTCAGAAAAAAATAATGGTGTGAATAACAGCACTGGCTTAATAAGACAGATGTTGTTTTACTAAAAGGAGGTCATTCTTCACACCCTGAAAATGGACCAGCTGCTGTGAGGTGTGTTCTCAGGGCTCCTGAACTGCACTATACTAAGGTGGTCAGTCATATATTCTAAAGCATATTATTTATTTATTAATGGCTAACCTACAGACACCAGCAGGAGGCCTGTTTGGAAACCACACTATAGCAACCCTTTGTAAAGTCACCATGTTTGTGGATTTACCTGAGACTGTCCCTTTACACTTGTTGTCCCAATGCCTTTTTATAGAACCATATGCAGATGCCATTTTGTAAGGTGAAAAAAGCCAAGTGTTATTATCATCATGTATGCCAGACTCTTTTCTGTCAAGGGGCCTGAGACAGTAGTCACACAATAGCCATTCTGGTGAAAGTGAATGTTCACCACCCAGGACAGCTGCCCTCTGGCCCAGCAAGAATGGCATACCGTTGTTACAGTTGTCTCTCTGACCAAGTCTAGCTGCCTTCTGAAAGTCTCTCTCCTCACAGGGTGTTAAGCGAGACCTGTTGCTAACCCCGAAGTGCATGTACTTAATTGGAAGAGAAAAGGTGAAGCAGGGACCAGATAAAGGTCTTGTGAAGGAAGTCCTGAAGCGAAGAATCGAGATGGAGAGGATCCTGTCCGTGTCCCTCAGGTAAGTAGGACATGGCTGAGGCAGGGCTTCCTTTGTGGTTCTCCTCACATTACCTACCACCTGCTGTCCCAAGAGACCACCAGGCCCATGATGAAATTTCCATTCTCCTCAAAGAAGACCTGGGCTGGGATGTAACTCAGTTGGTAGAGCACTTGCCTGGCACTCATGATGTCCTGAGTTCATTCCCCAGCATCAAATAGAGCAGGCATGGTGGCACACATGTAACCCCAGTGCTTAGGAAGTAAAGACAGGAGGATCATAAGTTCAAGGTCATCCTTGGCTACATAGTCAGTTCTAGGCCAGCCTGGGCTATATGAGACCCTGTCTCAAAAAGAAAGTAAAACATTCTGCTCACTGGAATGTCCCTTTCTAAACGAAACTGCTGGGCTCAGAGGAAAGCAGGTCTTCACAGACTCAGGCCCCTGACCTACCAGGATGGAAATCATATCTGCAGTAGGATAATCCAAACACATTTGTGGTATGTTCATTCTTGCCTGTGGCTCTGTGGCTCTCCCTCTATTACTGTTCCCAGCATTTCTGGATAAAGGGTCAGGTGGGACAGTGAAATTAAATGTTTACAGCACTAACTCAGGATGTGGTAACATCTCACAGCTGAGGAATATAACAGTGTCCTTCCTCAACACTACCTCAGTAAGAGCCCTGGGACGCCTGGACAGCCCAGCTGTCTGGGTCATCTTTAAGCTTTGGTTCATTGGCTATGTTACACCTTGCTGGTCACGCCCTTCCTGGCCACCCTTGGAGTTCTAAAGAACCCATGGGAAGATGTTTTCGTTTTTTTCATGCCTAAAGAGACACTGGGCCAGGACATAACTGGGTGAGCTGAAATGTACTGGGTCCACCTGACAGCTGTGGCTGAAAGCTAGGAAATCATACCTGGAGGCCGCTGTTGTGAAAGCCACGGTTGCTTCCTTTGTCCTCAGTCCTGTCTCTGGGCCATCAGACTTCATCATTTGTCTAGATCCTCACGAAGCTGGCCACCCTCTCACCAAGCAATTCTGTCCTGTTACTGTGACTTTAAGGTTTATCCAGTGTGATTGTTTAGTCTCGAATTCTTCTTTCTGGTTTCCTAACCCCTTCTGCCAGAGCCTCTGGGGATAGAATATGTCCTGGTAAAACCAGCTTTTTCACCATCTCTCTTATAGTATGCGTGGAATACAGGCCCGTTTCCTTATGGCCTTTCCTCTTCAGAGGTTCCTAGCCTAAAGGCTTTCCTAACTCTAAGGGGAAAGCTTGCAAGTTTTAGTCACATTGCAGCTACTGGGCCTCCCACTTACCAAGACGACTATCATTCCCTCACTTTCCTGACACATTAGGTTAGGCCAGCAATTCAAAACCAGGCTAGTTAAACAGCTGGGAGGAGAGGATGGTGGGCTATGCAGGATTGAGCCAACGTTGAATCGTGGTACCAGACTCCTGAGTGGTGGTGTAGGTGTGAGGGATGGGTGATGTGTCTCGGAACACTTCGATGTTGGTGTAAAGAAAGCGGGGGAAGAGCTGTCTGGTACTTCAGGGAAAAAAAAAAAGTGTTGCAACATCTGTACGTGTTTTCAAGAATTTATGAGACTTACTAGTTGACTTCTGGCTGAACTGACAATCACCGGATATGTTTCTCTAGTTCAGCCTGTTGAGCTATCCCACATGCTTGATCTCTAAGCCCACCACTGACTCTTAGGACCTCAGTGTTGGTAGGAAATATCTCTCTTCAGATAAGCCAGCCACCCAAAAGCAATTAAGAAGCAATCTGGGAAATGTGCTCAGGAGTAAATATTTTATATGAGGGGTTTAATGCTCATTTCTCTTAGCATGATAATGGCCTCGTGTTTACTTTTATATATAAAGAAATTTTACTTTTTAATGACACATACTGAAATATTAAGCATAAAATAATACAATATTTATACTTCCCTGTAAACTTGATCTTAGCCAAAAGGCTGAGAAGAAACACATAGTCTGCTTTAAAATAGTCTAGTTTGTGTGCAGAAGGGTCTGTGGTGTAGATAAATACAAGTGTTCTCTCCTTCCCATGCGTGGGTACCAGGGATCGAACTCAGGTCATTAGGCTTGGCAGCAAGTACCAGCAACTCAGAAACCATAGAAAAGCAGCCAGGAGGAAGAGGAATCAAACTTGAGTCTTCATGCTTGTTCAGCTGGCACTTGTGTGCACATACCCACACACAGGCACACAGACATGCACATAATCGTAAAATAATAAAATCTGAAATCTTAAACACCACTACAGCACCAGGTTGTATCAAGTTCATCATCCCACCCCCAATCCCCACCCCACCCCCCTGCTTTGGGCCTATGACCTTCCTAGCCATGGATTTTGACCAGGTTTACAGTAATAGGAAATGAATTCTCTGCTGTGGAGTAGGCCTCAAATCCAATCCATAGAGCAACCGGTGACTCCCATAAGTAATCTTGTCACTGTTCCACTGGTGGGCATGTCTTGCCTGGGAGGTCAGTAGTGTAGCATGCAGAAGCAAGTGCTAGGTAAGACTGTTGATGTCTTTTCCGCCAGCAGCCAGCATAGCCCCTCCCGGCCCCATGAGAGCTAGGGAAGAACTTCCCTAGTCAATCTGAGATTGATTTGTCTATGTCCTTCAGCCAAAGTATGTGGTATCCTCAGAGATAGGGTCTTACCATCTCTGTGTAGCGGGCAACCAAGGACATTGGCCATAGTCTGTGTTGTTTGGGGTGCCTCTGTGACCTCCCAAACAATAACTTGTAAATAGGTATCTTGTGTGTGGCACTGAGATTTTCCTTTAGAGCTTTTTGCTTCTGGTGACAGCACTGTCTACCCATACAGGAGAGGCGCCCAGTTTTAAGCTCCTAGTTTTAAGCTCCTATTAGGAGGACTGAATGCACTAGAAAGGTGCCCTTATTATAATAGATGCTGTGGCCGATGCTGTGGCCTCTGTCTGGCAAGACTTTTGAATTTCCTTGCTCTAAGAGCTGAGCTACAGAAGCTCTGGGTGGGGGATGGGATATCTGAATCAATAGATAGCCTGATGTTGATGTTACTAGAAAAGCATCTATAAAGAGAGTGCCTTACACAGAGGTTCTGGCTCCCTGGTTGTCACATTCTTAGGGAGAATGTTGAATTTAAGAACAACCACCAGGGGCCAGGGAAGTTATCTCAGTTGGTACATGGCTTGGCTGGCATGCATGAAACCCTGGCTTCTACCAGCCAGCACTGTATGAGCAGGGCTGGGCATCTAATGCCTGGAATCCCACTTGAAGGCAGATCTTCCTCAGCCACATGAGTTTGAAGCCAGCCTAGGTTGTGGTCCTTTGATACAGTTCCTCATGTTGTGGTGATCCCAACCATAAAATTATTTCATTGCTCCTTCATAACTGTAATTCTGCTACTATTATGAATCATAATGTAAATATCTGTGTCTTCCAATGGTCTTAGGTGACCTCTGTGAAAGGTTCAGTTAACCCCCAAAGGGGTCACTATCCACAAGTTGAGAACCACTGCTCTAGTTTCTCTGGTGAACAGAATTCTGGGAAAGCTTTTTAAAAATTCATTTGCCTCTTTATTTCCAGTTTATTAAGAGGAGCATTTATTTCGTGGTCAGGAAAAAAGGTTAAAAAGACTTAAATAAAGACACGCTGTATTTAGAAATAGCCTTTCAAACTTAAAAATAAAACCTCCTTTAGGGCTTTAGTCTGTTTTATAACAGACATTTTTGTAAAGACAACCTGTTGGCTAGGAGAGTGAAAAGAATTGTTGAGTGTTGTCAGCAATACAGTAAGCCACAGGAGAGGAGAATGAAGAGCAGGTCAAAGCCAAACCAAAGCCAGTCAGTACAAGAATTCAGCACAGAGGGCCACAGACGCCTGTAAGGAGTTCCAATGTGTGCATATGGGTGGCAGGGTAGTGGTGGCACACACCTTTAATCCCAGCACTGGGGAGGCAGAGGCAGATGAATCTCTGAGTCTACAGAGCAAATTCCAGGACAGGCTCCAAATCCCAGCACTGGGGAGGCAGAGGCAGATGAATCTCTGGTCTACAGAGCAAATTCCAGGACAGGCTCCAAAGCTACACAGAGAAACCCTGTCTTGAACCCCTCCCACCCCCCCCCAAAAAAAAGAAAAAGATAGGGGTGAAATCTAAAAACACATTTGATTTTGTTTGTTTGTTTAAAGAGTAAATAAACCTAAAGGCTTTGTTTCCAAGCCCAGGGGGCCTGACTGACTTCCACAGGGGTGACTGAAGGGAGGGGCTTTTGAATTTGATGATTCATAGCTGAAAGTGTCCAACTACATCTCATGTTCAGATTCATGCTGCTAACTGGCATGAGGTTTGAGTCTGCTTGCACACATGCATGCACTCATGCACTCACACACACAAATGATAGACAATGACACTCAAGTCTAAGCACATTAAACATCTCAAGGTCTTGCTTGCTGCACTTCATCCTGTTAAATAATGAATAGTCTTCCAGAAACTACCACTAGGCAAGCAGGCTGGTCCAGACATGCTGGAGCTAGAGCAACAATAAAGGCCCATCAAGGGAAAACTGGTCGAGAGAAGGAATCTCTGACCTGGGTGGAGACTTAACATTCCAGTTGGGCAAGCCAAACACCTGGCCAAGGGACCACCCTAAGAAGGTGGGTTCCACTTAAGCCATGTTAAAGAGATAAGTGGAATAATTATCCTCTAATGGGATACTGTGCTTCTCCTTCCCAGAATTCCTGCCCCCAGTACAGTCCCTCCAAGTCATCAGGAGGTCACCATGAGGTTCATTATAATTATAATCTCCCAAATAGATCAAATCAAATAAATAAATAAAAGTTAAAAGCTTTTTGAGGCAGAAGTTGAATTTAAAATGTATTTTTAATATTTCCCTCTGTTTTATTTTATGGGTATGTCTGTGGGTATTTTATGGGTATGTGTGTATGTCTGTGCACATTGCATATGTGTGGTACCTACAGTGGTCAGAAGAGGGCATCAGATCCCTGGATAATGACATTACAGACCGTTGTGAGCAACCATGTGGTTGCTAGTAAGGGGTCTTCTGGGAGAGCAGCCAGTGCTCTTCAACCTCTGGGCCACCTCTTTAGACCTTAAAATTTATTATTTAAATATAGACTACCCTTGCTTTTGAGACCACATGGAAATGTTTTAGTTTCCTTAGTGGTTAACCATTAACTTTTTTTGAAAGATTTATTTTAAATTGTGTGTGTATGTGTCACACATTGTTACTAGGGGGCCAGAGGAGCTGGATATACAGACAGTTGTGAGTTGTCCTACGTGAGTGTTGGAAATGGAACTCCAGTCCTCTTAATCGCTGAGCCATCTCTCCAGCCCTTCAACTTTCTTTTGAAGGCAGATTTCATGGATTTTATTATGTAATTCTTAGTCTGTGTTCTGTTCTAAGTGATACTTTTACTTATTTTTCATTCCTACAATTTATGTATTGGGGGAGAGCAGTGTACACATTGCACAGCGTGCCTGTGGACATCAGAGGACAGCTTGCAGGAGCTGATTCTCGCCTTCCACTGTGTGTATCTCTGGAATCAAACTCAAGCTCAGGTCATCGTAAAAAAACCTTTACTTGCTGAGCCATCTCCTGGTCCTGTTCTCAATATTATAAGGGTGAGAGGAGAGAAAGGGAACAAGGGAAGGAAGGTAGGAGAAAGGCGCTTGTTACAGGATGTTTTTGAAATAGTAAAAGTAGTAATGACAGGCCTTGTGTGTAACACAAATAAATAAAAAACCCAAAAATAAATATTGAGCTTCAAACTTCAAGATGAAAATCAGAAAAGCAAAGTAGCCAGTCACTAGCTCTTACCTCTACCTCAGGCTGAAAGGGTTGATTCATGAGCTCTTCACCAAGCCTCAAACTGCTGCTTCTCCTCAGTGTGGCTGAAGAATGAATGGCTTCTACTAAATACTGAAGACCCTGCTTCTATTTTTTATATCCTTCTAGTGCTGGGATTAAAGGTGTATGATCCATTACTCTTTTTAGACTGATTCAACTGGTGTATTCCCTGGTTGGCCTTGAACTCAGAGAGATCCTTCTACCTCTTAATCCTGAGTCCTAGGATTAAAGGTATGTGCCACCACCTCCTAGCTTCTGGCTGTTGGGATTAAAGGTGTATGATCCATTACTCTTTTTAGACTGATTCAACTGGTGTATTCCCTGGTTGGCCTTGAACTCAGAGAGATCCTTCTACCTCTTAATCCTGAGTCCTAGGATTAAAGGTATGTGCCACCACCTCCTAGCTTCTGGCTGTTGGGATTAAAGGTGTGTGCCTGGCTTTTCTGGCTTGTGGCTGACTTTGCTTTCTGAATCCTCAGGCAAGCTTTATTAAATCATAAATAATGTATCAGTATACTTGTGTGTAGCTTAGGGGGTGTTTGGAACAGGTTCGGTGTGTACAGTGTGCAGAAGCACAGTGCTGTGTGTTTAGCATACAGACCCTTCTCTCTGCCTCCAAATGATAATGACAGAGCTGCTAGGTGAGTGGAGTGAGACTCGTGTTAACTCCGTCTGATCTCTCTCAGTACCATGCAGGATGACATCTTCATTCTCCACGAGCAAGAGTATGACAGTTTGCTTGAATCTGTCTTCAAAACAGAGTTCTTGAGCCTCTTAGCAAAGCGATACGAGGAAAAAACCCAGAAGCAGCTACCTCTGAAATTCAGCAATACGTGAGTTGGGATCCAGAGTGCAGACCGAGAGGCGGGGAGGCCTGCGGGGCGGGCTGTGTGGTCTCAGTGGTTCCGTCCCTTTAGCTAGCCCTTCTGGGTGCCTCAGTATCTCCAGGAACAGGGAGGCCTGCTGAACACAGCCTAGGTTCTCATGGACTTTGCTGGGTCACATTTGTGTTTCTGTGAAATAATCAAATCATCAAAGGATATTTTTTTTATTATTTACATAAAGATCACTCAAGTAAGACTGGGTAAGGCAGGTATTAGCAGCGTGAACAGTAGAGTCAGGCTGGAAGCGGGAAATAGGAACTGGAGTAGGGTTCTGACTCCCCCAATTGTTGGTGGGACTTGGGGTGTGGGTAGTAGTGCCTTATGCCTTGTCTCACCTTCACAGGCTTTAGTGAAATGTTCTAATGGGTAAGACACTGCGTGTTGTTGAGCTTCTAATCTCACTTCTGCTGAGTGAGAGTTGTTTAGCTTTTCTTGAATTACCCATCTATAGAGTAGAAATAGAGTCTTTTTGCCCAAAAAAAAAAAAAAAAAAAAAAAATGAGGGGATCACAAGACTGTAATGCCTGGGTGAAGGAACCTGACAAGAGATGACTACTTAGAATCATTATTATTCCTTAAGGGGAAAGAGAACATATTGTGCAGTGTGTCGTAGATGTATAGACATAGTGTTTCGTTTGGCTTCTGAGGTTCAGAGTCCAGTCCATCACAGCAGGAATGTCAAAGCAGGAACTTGAAGCAGGTAGTTGCATCATATCATATCCATAGTCAAGAGCAGAGAGAAATTAACATAACGCATACTTCCTTGTGCTCAGTACTTTCCGTACATACACAGTCCAGGATCCCCTGCTTAGGGAATGGTGCTTCCCACAATGGGCTGGATCTTCCCACATCAATTACTATTAACAAAACAATCCCCTACTTGCCCACAGCTCCACCTGAGCTAGACAGTCCCTTAATGAGCCTCTCTCGGGTGATTTCAGAATGTGTCAAGCTGGCCCCACCACCCCCAACACAAAGACCTGGGTGAGTGATGGTGATGAGATAACAGAATATATAACTGAACAGTAGCCACAGTCTGTGGCTCTATATCACAGTCTGTGATATAGAGTCTTCTGCCCTCTTGTATCTGACATCTCAGTCCTCCACACAGCAAACACAACTATAAGCACAATGTTACAACATAGGGAAGTTGTCCATTTGTCCTGTCCTCCAGGCAGTCACCTGTGACCAACCAGGAGTGATCCTGTGACATAAATGAGGGAAAAAACCACTCACCAACAGGGTTCTCACAGATGTTGAACTCCATCCAAATGTCTGTGCTTCTGGCATGGCAATGACCTAGCAGCTGTGCCACGCTGAGCTGTACCTAACCCTATGGGAGGGTTAGGTGGTATGGGCTTGTCCCCTTCCTGCGGTTGTCACCTCCTGGGCAGCAGCTGTTTCATGAGCACTATTTTCTCACTAGCTCCTTCTGGCTCATAATTTTAATCAATGTGCTTGTCACAGCCTTGAACTGAAGTTAAAAAAGGAGAACTGGGGTCCCTGGAGTGCCGGAGGCTCCCGGCAAGTACAGTTCCACCAAGGCTTCGGTGACCTGGCCATCCTCAAGCCCAGCAACAAAGTGCTGCAGGTCAGCATTGGACCTGGGCTGCCCAAGAACTCTCGTAAGTGTCCCCCAGGCCCTGCCTCTATTAGTGCTGTGCACCTGGCTCTTCTGTGCAGATCTGGGGACAAAGAGTCTATGCTTCTGCAGCTGGCTATTGTGGGGTTCTCCAGAGACAAGGCACTGCAAACTAAAGCAATGTCAAGGAGAATGGGCAGGCTGAAGCATGCTAAATGTTTGAATCCTTGTGCACAGTATACCTGACATTCATGGCCTAGTTGCATTTAAAACAATTTGTTAGGGCTGATATAAAGACAAGAACCTGAATTTGGGGCTAATGGGTAAACACGCTTACCATCAAGCCTGATGACTTGAGTTGGATTCCTGGTTGCTTGTTTATTTCAGGCCCTACCAGAAGGAATACCATCCAAAGCAGAGGGTATTCTAGTGGAACAAAGAATGCCAATTACCCAATGAGAGCTGCTCCTGCTCCACCAGGTAAGCCACACATGTGCCTTGGAGAGGTACCACTGAGTCTGTACGCCAGCTTCCAAATGATGTCTGGAAAGCTAGAAAAAACGATTCAGCCTGACTTGAGTGCTAAGCTCCAGCATCCACATAGAAAGCTGGGCCCTGTGGCATGACTTGGTATCCCAGTGCTGGGGAGATAGAGACAGGAAAATTCTTGTTGTTTTCTGCCTTACCTAATCAGTGAGCCTTAGGCACTAGTGAGAGACTGTCTCAGGTATATGGTTCCTGAAGGATAATACATGGAGGTTGACCTCTGACTTCCACGTGCACGAATACACACATGTACACACACACACACACACACACACACACACACACACACGCACGCACGCACGCACGCACGCACGCACACAGAGGGTATTTGGGAAGAAACCCTTTGCTAGTGAATACACAGCAACCAAACACATGACCCTAAAATTTAGGAGACAAAGTCAGTGAGCCCACATTGCAACAAAGGGAACAATCTGGGTTTCATTCCCCAGCTCTGTCACTTCCTAGGGCAGAGAGAGACAAACGAGTTCCTTTTCACCACAAGCAGAATGCTGCTGGTTTTATGATGCCAGATATTGCCTTGATGGGCCCAGGCGTGTTCTGGGTATCCACCCACCAGTACCAGGCTCCAGCCACATCCTGCAGCAGTGGTTCATAGCTAGTTAATGGCCTGGTGAATTAATAGGAAAACATCTATTTTTAGTGAAATGAAACCCACGAGACATTCCTAAAGTAAAATAATATCTGAGAGAATTACAAAATGTTACAAAAGCTTTTTTGGCCCTTGTTTCGTATTTTTCAGCTTGTTGTTTTAGTTTTGGTTTTTAAGACAGGGTCTTCTGGGTATGGTGGGGCACACATTTAACCCAAGCACTTAGGAGGCAGAAGCAGATGGATCTCTGTGAGTTGGAAGCCAGCCTTGTCTACATAGTGAGTTCCAGAACAGCCGGGGCTATACTCTGTAGAGAAACCCTATTTCAAAAAATAAAAACAGGCTCTCACTATGTAGCTCTGCCTGCCCTGGAACTCAATAAGTAGACCAGGCTGGCCTCCAACTCACAGAGATCTATCTGCCTCTGCCTTGGAGCACTGGGATTAAAGATGTGAACGACCACACCCAGCATTTTTGTTTTTAAAGAGGTTTTATAACCCAATCTGTCCTCAGCTTGGCTGTGTTGCTGAGCATGGCCTTGAGTTTCTGACCTTCTTCCTGACTCTGCCTCCGGAGTGCTGGCATGGACAGCAATAAATAGCTAGTTTGTGTGACACTGAGGCTTGAGACCAGGGCTTTGTGCATGCTAGACAAATGCTCTACCAGCTGAGCTACCTCCCCAGTCCCCATACTTTCCAGTATTTAAATTAAAACAAGTTTCCATCACTCACAAAGTTCAGACCCTAAGAAACTGTCCACAGAGTAGGATATTAGTCATTTTAGTATCGGTCTGAACAGGTCAATGCCTTGGTGTCCAGGATTCCCAGCCATTCTTGAATCTCCTCCTCTGGGATCTCACACGTATACTCTAAGTATGAACACTGTCCAGCAGTGAGAAATGAGCTCGACTCTCTTTTGGAAATCTCTGTCCTACCTTAGCCCAGGTTTCTTTCCTTTTAACCCCTGAGGAGCACCCAAGCTCAGAGGGACCCCAGAGAAGCAGGGTTTACACACACTGTGTTACTGTTTGGTGCTGGCTCCTGCCAGGACCACCTGGATACTCCTTTGCCTCAACTCTGGCTGGAGTATCCTTCAACCGAATCAGTGACCTTGAACATAGCCTCAACCTCTAAAACAGTTTCCTAGTCAGTCAAAGGGGAATTAACCCAAGTCCATTAAAGCAGCACTTCTCAAAAGATCTATAAAAGTGATAACCGGAACTTTATATTTCTCGGGTTTGTTTATTTACTGGAGGTGGGTGTTGAGGGAAGTGTGGGTATGTGTGCAGGTTCACGTGCTTGTTGGTGGTTTGCAGGTGAAAATTGAGAAAGGGTGCATATACATGTTATACACATACATGTAGAGACCAGAGTCCAACTTCAAGTGTTGATTCTTGGGAACTATGTACCATAGTCTTTGTTTTGTTTTGGAGACAAGATCTCTCTAAATAGCCCTTGCTGTCCTGGAACTTACTCTGTAGACCAGGCTGGCCTTGAACTCACAGAGATCTACTTGCCTCTGCCTCCTGAGTGCTGGGATTAAGGGCATGTGCCACCACCATCAGGCCATACAGAGTCTCTTCCTAGGACCAATTAGGCTGACCTGGGTGCCTACCCAGCCACAGGGATCCTTCTGTCACCATCCCCCCAGTACTGGGATTAAAACATGAGCCACCACGCCTGGCTTTTAGTGTAGGTGCTGGGGATTGAACTCATATCCTCATGCTTGCAAGGCAGCTGAGCTACCTCCTGAACCCTCAGTTCCTATGGATTTTAAAAAGTTTCCCAGCTTATCGCAAACCACACTTTTGTAAAATGTAATAAAAATGAATCCGTAGAACAATGAGATCTGAAAAACACATATAACACAAGCCAAATTTTATGATTAATTTCAACAGGCATAAAGTACTGAGTGCTTATTCTTGGTCTCTGAACTCGGTGTGGACAAATGAGTCTCTGGTGACACTGAGACACTCGCCTACTTTTCTTTGCCCTAGGAAACACCCCACTCTAACACACTTCTTTCCTCTCCTTAGCACTCTGGCCAGGGAGTGGGGTCTCAGTGTCCTCCCCAATCCCAGATGCTATGGGGAGCCCTTCAAATTCTTATTCACTGGGTCAGATGAGGAAAAAGTGTTATTTGTCTGCAGTGTTTAGTTTCCATCCAGCCTGGAGCCTGTGAGAGGAAATGGCAAGAGAGCTGGCTGGATGAAAAGCCATACTTCTAAATGCTCTGCCCTAGAACACTGCCATTCAGAATAGGAACTTGCTCCATTGTTGCTGGGGAAGGGAAGTTCACTTGGACCTTTAGAAGGGTGCCAAGATAACAGAGAAATGAATATCAGAGCTGGAAGAAAGTAGGTGCTGGACCAGTCTCCTTGCCTTTAATGAAGAAGCTGACCTTCTGAAAGATTAAAATACTTGCTCAAGACCAATTTCATTTTCAGAGCCAGAATTGAGTCTCTGAGCCTTGGCTACTCGATTGCTACTAGAGAATTCTGCAGGTTTCTGGCCTGCCCTACTGAACTGGGCCTCGTTTTCCACTCTGCCTGCTGTGTCAGCAGGAAGAGAGATAAGGCTACTTTATACATGGCAAGGAGTAATTGTTAGACCCCCGAAAACTCAAGTATCCGGGGTCCCAGGCCACGTTCTCGGTCACCCCAATCACCAGGCGGATTCGAGAGCTTGCTGCAAACTGCACGAGGCTTTATTGTAATTTAACGAGTTAACCCCATGTTAGCTCGGGTCTTTCACCCACCCGCCATGGCGGACGGCTAGAAAAGACATTGGTGTGCCTCCAGGCTTGGAGGGCTTGCCCTGTGTTGATTGGTCAACTGGTTGTTATGGCTCATAGGCCCTCCCAGGGTGGTTGCTATGCTCTCTACGTCATTGCTGTGCGTTTGTCCGTAAAGCACACCCAGAGCCATAAAGCATAGCGCCACCAGCTAACTTCTGATTGGTTCCTTGTCACGAGACAGGCATCTGACTTTCTAGTGACTAACTTCTGATTGTTTCCTTGTCACGAGGTAGGCATCTGACTTTCTGGTTTCTAGGACAAGGTCATAGAAGCACATGTTCGACCATTATGGCTGCCAAAAGGGAAGCCGGTTCCTTCATAATGATGCCCCCATGATTGAGAGCCCATGCCACCATCCATCCATGACTCACTGGCTATTGCAGCTTTTGAGATCTTAGCTAGAAATCACATTTGGGTACACAGAACTTACTTCATATACTTGATCTAGCTGGATGGCTGCATTTCCCTCGCCTATGTGAAGGGTTTCCCCTGCTTCACACAGCAGTTTTCAGCCAAGGACACCTGAGACTGACTCCTTGAAAATGATTGTCCAACTGTTTAACCCACTTCCCACTGCCCTCCTGAGTTGTGACCTCATGGACCCAAAAATGGCTTGCCAGCTAGCTGCAAGCTCAGCTTGCTCTGACTGTGGACTTGAACCTAGATATCTAGAAATTTTATTGTCACATTCAACAAGCTCAGCTGAGGCGCTTCCTAACCAGGTGGCATTTGTGCTATCATGTTATAGTCCCCAAATACAATCTGATTCATCAGTTATACCTTAGTGAAGTTAGGGGAAAAATAGTGTATTAACTTTCTTACAATATATTACCAGTAGTAATGTTTTCAGATGGGAAAACTGAGGTCCAGTTGTGTAGTCACTTGCCTTCGGCTACTTATAATGGAATGAGTATGAAGAATCTTTTGGCAAAGCATCAGAAATTGACATTGTTTCTTCTCTTGCCTCTCCAGGATGCCATCAAAATGGAGTCATCAGAAACCAGTTTGTGCCTCCTCATGCTCCTGGAAACCAGAGATCCAATCAGAAAAGCCTGTACACCTCTATGGCCCGCCCACCCTTGCCACGGCAACAGTCCATAGGCTCAGACCGATTGTCACAGACACCAGAGAGCCTGGATTTCCTCAAGGTCCCAGACCAGGGTGCTGCTGGGTAAGACTTCCCAGGTCTTGTAGTAAAACCAGAGAACTCTGCTTCATCAATCATGCAGAGGGTTCAGGGGCTCTGTGAGCTCTGATTTCTGAAGTTTAGTTTTCTACCCAAGTGCTGTAATCTAGGACCCATGGCTGTGGGGCCAGGATAATAGCAACATATCCCATTTCATCCCCTGGGAAGGGGCTTACCTTGGAAATATCAAAGGCATGTGCTCTCAGCTACAAGAATCTCCTAATGAGTGATCTTTATGTTTTCCTCTAGTGTAGTTGAAGAATGACGGTTGTTTGTTTTATTACTTGTATCTGTGCCTTTAGTTGCATGAATGGAACAATTCATAGTGTTAGCAACATTTAGAATAGGATACCAAGGTCTGGGAAGAAATGGCTCAGCAGTTAAGAACACTTACTCTCTTTGTAGAGGATCTGGGTTCTGTTCCCAATACACACATGTGTCAGCTTATGACTGTTATATGACAAAACATATCCTGGGGAAACATAATACACATGTCTACTCACCCCCAGATAGGGATCCCACGACAAACCAAAGTATGGATACCTCTATAGTCTAACTTGACAATGCAATGAGTTTTATCGGGGTTACTTACAGGCTTAGGGGTGAGGGACTACTTACAGAAGCAGAAATGACTCACAGACGGCTGCATCAACAAGGCCCACCCCAGCATGGGTGATAGCTCCAAACCTGGAGCTCACTATACAACCTGCAGGCAGCTCAACAGATTATAGAGTGTCCTCATCCAGGCAGCTCAGCTGGTTTCTGCTTCTTCCTGGCAGCTGGTCTGTTCTCAGCTGGTCTTTGTAGCTTTTCTTTTTTCTTTTTTGGTTTTTCGAAATAGGGTTTTTCTGTGTAGCTTTGGAGCCTGTCCTGGCACTCGCTCTGGATACCAGGCTGGCCTTGAACTCACAGAGATCCGCCTGCCTCTGCCTCCCAAGTGCTGGGATTAAAGGCTTGTGCCACCAATGCCCAGCTCTTTGTAGCTTTTCTGAGAGTCATTTTTGCCTCTCAGCTTCTCTGGGTCTTCTTGGTAGCTCTGCTCCTAAACGCAGAGTCTTCTTTGCAGCTCAGCTTTCTTTAGCCTGAGGGGCTCTCAGTTTATATTCTTTATATTGGCAGGGAGGAGCATAGTGAATCTGGTCAGTTTCAGGGACTTCCTGAAGCTACCTTGAGCTATTTGTCTTCCTGTTCATATCTTGAGCTATTTACCTTCCTGTTGAAGGGGCTTCCCTTCAGGATGGAATGTTTCAACCTCGGAGGAAACTGTTAAACAACAGTGACAATAGTGACCCTTTAACTCCAGTTTCAGATCTGCCACACCCCTCTGGCTTGCACCTGCACCAGGACATAATGTGGTGTGCATAGACAGACACACACATACACACCTGACATAAAGTGGTGAGCGCGTACACACACACACACACACACACACACACACAAATAAAAATAAATGTCTCCTTAAATATTTCTTTTTTTTTTTTTTAAGATTTTATTTATTATGTATACAGTCTTCTGCCTGCATGCCAGCAGAGGGCACCAGATCTCATTCAAGGTGGTTGTGAGCCACCATGTAGTCTCCTTAAATATTTCAAAAGCATCGGATCCTCATGTCCTATGAGATGGGACTGTTTAAGCCTATCGGTCTTGAAAGCTCCACAAGAGCCTGTGCCGCTCTAGGAGAGAAGGAGCCAGGCTATTCAGCTTGAAGAGGGGAGCACCTGGAACTATGTGTAGCTAGTTGACATTCAAAGGGCTCCCAGTTAGAGATGGGAAGGAGACCCAGCCTGTGTGGTCCCAGAGAATTCACTGAAGTCAGGGGCAAGATCAGTGAGGGATCTCTGCCAGGAGGTATAGACTTGGCACTGGTGAAAGAAATATACCCTAGCTTCTCAATAATCATCATCATGGTTAAGCAGCTACTTACTAAGTTGTCTTCTACATACAAGTACCATGCTAAGCATATAATGTCTATTATACTTCTCTTAACATGCCTGTGAGCATGATGGTATGACATCACTCTATACAAAGAAACTGAAGCTCAGGGAAGGCAAGGGACAAGTCTAAAATAAAGTATCCTTGTCAACTTGGCCCTTCTGCCTAGGTTTGGGTGCCACCCAAAGTGGGCTGAGCTCTCCCACATCAATTATTAATCAAGACTATTTCTCACAGAAATGACCACAGACTGATTTCTGATTTCATCAATTCAATTCTCCGACTGAGGTTCCTTCTCAGATGTCTTCTAGGTTGTGTCAAGTTGCCTTTTTTGTTTTTTGGGGTTTTTGTTTGTTTGTTTGTTTGTTTGTTTGTTTTTGGAAGGGTTGTTTGAGACATGGATTCTCTGTCCTGGAGCTCTATCTGTAAACCAACCTGGCCTCGAACTCAGAGATCCTCCTACCTCTGCCTCCTGAGTGCTCCCTGTCAGGTCTTAACTTATCCTCTCATTTGGGGCTATAGACAGGAGGCACTTTAATCTTTATTGCACAGGTGGCCATTGGTAGAGCACTTGCTACCTTCTCTATGTAAATAGTTATAGCTCACTGGTTCTCATGACCTAGTAGAGTTGACTGGTTCAGCTTCCAGTTATGGTTCTACTGTAAACCAGAATTGCCTAAAGGGCTTGCCATCCCCCTCCTATCTCTTAAAATGTGACTGTGGCAGTGCATATGTGTGTGTGTGTGTGTGTGTGTGTGTGTGTGTGTGTGTGTGTGTGTGTAACACATGTGTGGATTTCAGGTGTTGTCCACTTTCTTACCACCTTATTATTTGAGATATAGTCTCTCTCACTGAGCCAAGAGCTCACTGATTGGCTAGCCAGCCTCAGCAATCCTCCTCTCTCCACCTCCCCAGAGCTGGGATTACAGGCACACACTGCCCCATCCAGCCTTTGGTGTGGGTGCTAGTTATCTGAACTCAGGTCCTCATGCTCATGTAGCAAGCCAAGTACCACCTGAGCCGTCTTTCCAGTTACATTTCTACCAAGTTCCCAGATGATACTGATGCCATTCATCCTAGGAAGGACCACATGGTGCACAGAAATCCAGAGGGCAACTGGTGTCCGATTGATACGGTTCATGGAGCGGTGGGTTGGGAAGGTACTGCTAAGGTAGTGGGCTTCTCACTCGACCCAGGTGCTATTCATATTCCCTAGCGTCACTACAACAGTCCCGAGTTTGCTCCTGGGCCCCGTTTTGTGTTCCAAAGTAGACAGGGGATTATAAGCAGCCACCCTCCAAGTCTCCTCGCTCTGTCTGCTGGCTTCCTATTTGCTTTGGTTTTGGCAAGCAACAGGTCTTTTGAGCCTGCCTTGCAAGTTGCAGACTTGCATATGGGCCAGCTGGGAGCATCTGTCAGCCAAAAGTAGGAGCACTGGGTCTTCACCAAGGCTGCTCCCTTCCAGCCCTGTTGAAGTCTTAGCACACCCTCCCCTGCCTCCGGGCCCTGATGCTGTGTATGCATGGTGCCACCTGGGAGACTAGCTGGGCGACCAGGAGGAAGGAAAGCTTCACAATTGTCCCACAGGCAACTCGATTTTCCTGTCTGCCGCATGTATTCTCTGACATTAGCAGACTAAGTCCAGTAGCTACAAGAATTCTAGCCAGTCTTCTTCTCATTACACACCTAGACAGTCCTTAAAAAGTAGGAACTTAGCTGAGCATGGTGGCTCCTGCCTTCAATTCCAGCACTTGGGAGGCTGGGAGAAAAGGATTATTATAGTTCGAGTTCTAGGCCAACTTCAGCTAAAGACTGAGACTATGTCTCTAAAGAGAGGAAAACACGAGGTAGGGAAGGGGGAAAGATGGTTCAGTGGTTATGAACATCTGCTTTCACAGATGACCTGTGTTTAGTTCCCAGCCCTCACAGCCCCCTTAACTCATCTAGGGTAATTAGACACCCTCTTTTGGCTTCTGGGGCACTGCACTTGGGTAGTGAACATACATAAAACACATATGCACATAAAATAAAAATAAATGCTTTTTCTGAAACAAACAAACAAACAAACAAGGGAGTAAGAAGTAGGAACCTAGCTAGCATTTGTTTTCTACAACACAAACTTGAAAGTTCAGTTTCTAATGTGGCAGAGAACTTGGCTGTGCCGTTTCAGGAGACTCGTGCATGGTTACCTAAATTTAACAGATTCTCTTTGCCAAAAGGCAAACTGTGTTGAAGCTCAGAGAGAAGCCCAAACTTGTGCTTTCTCCATAGACATGGGGATTCCTATTGAGATCAAAGTGCCAAAGGCTCGCCTTGAATTTACCAGCCTTGAACTTGACCACCCCAGCCCCCTCCCGGGTCTTCCACATCCCTTCCCTCCTCTCCCCTCAATGTTCTTTTTCTTCACAGACACATTTTGTACAGCCTTCATTTCTTTTGGATCTTGTACCCTGGCTGATACCAAATGGTATCATTAGCACCTCGGCTTTGTTCAGGAAAGTGTCAGTTAATTTCCATTTAGCCAGTTGGTTTGGGAGAGAGCAAGAAGTTCACTAAATTATCATCCCAACAAAGTATTGTCTGACTGTCTGTCTCCCCTCCCTCTCTTCGTCCTTTCCCTTTTCTTTTTCTGTGATGTTGGGGATGGAGCCCAGGACCATACACATGCTAAGCAAGCGGTTTACCACTGAGCTAATCCTCAGCCCCTCAAGCCTTTTCACCTTTGTTAATGGCATCCCTGTACAAGATTGTCATCGTTCTCCAGATGACACTAAGCTTTAGTGATGCTGTCAGGGGAAAGATCTGCCCTTATTTTTTTTTTTAACCAGTCATGGCAGTGCACACCTTTAATCCCAGCACTCAGAAGGCAAAGGCAGGTGATCCGTGTGAGTTTCAGGCCAGCCAGGTCTACCTAGTGAGATAGTGAGTTCCAGGCCAGCCAGGGCTACATCATGAGACCTGTCTCAAAAGATCTGCCCTGATTCTCAAGGGAAGAAAGCAGACTCTGCAACACTCACAGAAGCAGCCACTCCCCCGCCTTCACACTGGTTCAC